CACTGGATCGCTATATTGCCATTCGAAACCCCATCCACCACAGCCGGTTTAACTCAAGAACTAAGGCTTTTGCCAAAATAATTGCTGTTTGGACCATATCAGTTGGTAAGTGAGGTAATATTTCAGCATGTAATTGCAGATTTCTACTTTTTGAGAGGATTTGACATATATACTGCAGTCTAAAACTTTATTCTCTGCCTGCAATATTTTGCTTTCAATAGTCTAAGAAGTGCTGTCATGTAGCAATTATGTAATGGAAATCAACGACAATGGGAAATGGAGGAGAACTGAGCAGCACCGTCACTAAATAATATATGAATATATGACACTGTCTCCCATAATAAACTCCTGAAAAAGCTGGCAACCCATGGCTTGGACAGGGGCACTCTCTGCTGGGTTAAGAACTGGCTGGAGGGCCGGGCCCAGAGAGTGCTGGTGAATGGGGCTGCATCCAGTTGGCGGCCGGTCACCAGTGGTGTTCCCCAGGGGTCAGTGTTGGGCCCAGTCCTTTTTAACATCTTTATCGATGATTTAGATGAGGGGATTGAGTCCATCATCAACAAATTTGCAAATGACACCAATTTGGGAGGGAGTGTCTACCTGCCGGAAGGCAGGAGGGCTCTGCAGAGGGATCTGGATAGACTGGAGAGTTGGGCTGATTCCAATGGGATGAAGTTCAACAAGGCCAAGTGCCGGGTCCTGCACTTTGGCCACAACAACCCCCTGCAGCGCTACAGGCTGGGCACAGAGTGGCTGGAGAGCAGCCAGGCGGAAAGGGACCTGGGAGTGCTGATCGACAGGAGGCTGAACATGAGCCAGCAGTGTGCCCAGGTGGCCAAGAAGGCCAATGGCATCCTGGCCTGCATCAAGAACAGTGTGGCCAGCAGGAGCAGGGAAGTGATTCTTCCCCTGTACTCAGCACTGGTGAGACCACACCTTGAGTATTGTGTTCAGCTCTGGGCCCCTCAGTTCAGGAAGGACATTGAGGTGCTGGAGCGGGTCCAGAGAAGAGCAACGAGGCTGGTGAAGTGACTTGAGCAGAAGTCCTATGATGAGAGGTTGAGTGAACTAGGGTTGTTTAGTCTGGAGAAGAGGAGGCTCAGAGGTGACCTCATCACTCTCTTCAACTACCTGAGAGGAGGTTGTAACCAGGTGGGGGTTGGTCTCTTCTCCCAGACAATCAGCGACAGGACAAGAGGGCACAGGCTTAAGCTCTGTCAGGGGAGGTTTAGGTTGGATATTAGAAAGAAGTTCTTTACAGAGAGAGTGATCAGGCATTGGAATGGCCTGCCCAGAGAGGTGGTGGATTCACCGTCCCTGGAGGTTTTTAAGATGAGGCTGGATGTGGCACTGAGTGCCATGATCTAGTAATCACAGTGGGGTTGGATCAGGGGTTGGACTTGATGATCTCAGAGGCCTCTTCCAACCCAGTTAATTCTATGATTCTATGATATCAGTGATAGGACTATTGCATTGAAGTTTGTTTTAAAGATGCGCCTATTTTTCATTTTGATTATCCATCATTACCCTGACATCTGAAAAGGATAAAGGTATATTAACTGAAAAAAAAAATTTTGCTGTTTTATTTAAGTCAGTCGTTCCCAGCTTCCTACTAGGGTAATTTACTTAAAGGTGTTTCTTATGGGCAGATCTTCCTGCCTTTCTTGGTGCATATGGTGGGGAATTTATGTGCCCTACTTAGGAGACAACAGATACTCTGTATAAAGTGTGAATGAAAGGAGTTTCTCCAGAGGACAGTTCAGAGTTACAGTCTAAAATCAATGTTCTGAATGACCCAGCACATGAATCTCTTTTTGAACTGGCAAAACCCAGACCTCCAAAACTAGGCATGGGAGCATTGCTCTTCCATTCCCATGGTGGCAGCAC